GGCTGTTGTACAATTTAATTAAGGAATATTTTCTTATGTATTTATGTTTATGTGTGTGTATATCCCTTATGGACCGCACTAGAGCCTGTCTCAAGTAGCCAGTTTCCCGTTTGCCTGTTTTCGTGCTTCAAGCAGCAACCTGTTCGAACCCTTGCTTTCCATTCTATTCCTTTCTCTCTCTCATTTTCTCTCTTTCGCCCCTACGATAAACTCATTACATTGAAATTTCCCACGAACCCTTATACAAACATAGACATCAAAATTCCCATATGCCTATGTGTAGATCTACATATTTACGGGACAGCCGCCCAAGATAATGTCCTTTCAGGCACTTTCTCGGTCAATATCCATTTACATATTAAGAGTAGAGCGTGAAATTTCGCATATACACACACACACACACACGTACACAGAGCTATACACACTTTTATGCGCTGGCGCCCCCTGTTGTTTCCCAAGGAATTGAAAACTGTAAAACTAACCCTTAGGAAACCACCCAAAACTTAATGACCTTTAATGATGATGTTTCTGATTGCTGCGCTTTGTTCGCGACTTAACGGAAATTACATGGCAAAAAAAGAAAAGAACACAAAAATGTTGATGGTTCTATGTTGTAGTTGTTAAATGCCATTCGCAGCTAAAACAAAACAGGAAATGTCCGTCAGTTGAACTCGTCTCTTACATTACAATATCTGGCCACGCCCATGACGAGGCATTCTTAGCCAAGTAGCCATAAAACAGTTTTATATATAGATACATAACATATGTATATATAAATATTTGATGATGATGCAGCCGACGCAAACATAAAAAGCGGCACTAAAATTTTGTACCACTGTGCAATTAAAATCGTCTTGAGTTTATGACATCATAAAGGTGTAATCGAAGCTGCATGAATAGAATATGTATTATATTATTTATATATATGTATGTATATATATGGAAAATCATAAAAATTGGTATGGGAAATTCATAAGTTTCAGGCACAAGTGAATCCACCCCCATCACCTGCTTGACGACGACCCCCACACTCAGACATATGAAAATCAAATCAACAAGGGTTGGCAACTTCCTTCTACTTCTTCTTCTGCTCGGTGCGTGGGGTCAATGCACAAAAATGCGTAGAACGTGCAACATGCGAAACGCCAGAACGACGACGAGGGTGAACTGGAGAGAAAAGGAAAAACCGGTCCCCGGGTTTGCCTTTTTTTTTAATGCTTCGTTTCGGGGTCTGGAAATGGTCCATTCGCTTTTCGCGCTCGCACAAGATGGTGGCGCAAAAGTTTATTGACCCCCACAGCATTTTGGGGGAGGCTGCTGCGATTGCTGCTGCAGTTGTTCTTCTCGTTGTTGTCGTTCAAACAGCGCCCCAGAGGGTTGATTAGCAAACTCAAACAACTACCCCACCCTACCTAGCACGTAAACTTTTGCACCACCTTAGTGCCGGATTCGGGCATATTAATTTTATGGCTGACATGACTATTTATTTATTTGCAAGACACTTTCCGCCCGCCCACCCCCCTCCATTATGCAGACCACCGAGACAAAATGTTCAATTTTTGGGGGGTGGTGGACCAGACAGACGTCTGAGCCAAAAAAAAAAGTAATATAAAAGCAAAAACCCAAAAGGATCAAAGCCAGACATACGAATGTTATACATTTTTGTTTTGTGCGACGGCTGCCGACAACGAGGACGACGACGGCGATGAGGAAGCCAACGGACAGAGAATTCCCACCCCTTGCCAAAAACACAAAGCAATAAAAACAACAACAAAAGAGCACCAGGAAGAATGAACGAGAAGGGCAAAAATGCAAGTTGGAAAAGTGGCAGCTGTAAAAGTAAAACAATAAAAGTAGGAAGCAAAAGCAGAAACCGAATCCGGCAAAAAGTGAAACGAAAACGAAATGAAACTGCACGCATACACACACACACACGTAGGTAACTTATGTATGTGTACAGGACATTGCCGCCGTGTGTACATTATGTACAAGCAGCACAGACGGAATAGGTAGATAAATATAAAATACATACAAATTTGTGCAGGGCTGCATTCGATTGGGTAAAATCCTGCTCAATTTGATCGATAGCATGCGATCGCAATGCTGCTCACGTTTACGATCTGGCAATATTGTTTGCATTTTGTGCAGCCCTTACAGCAAAATATTTAATAGTAGCCGCTATAAATAAGGAAAAGGATGCAATATAAAACACGAATGCATGCCTGATGTGTGCATTTGTGTGTATGCATATGTGATTTGGCCGTCTGTCGGCCCGATCAATCGCACAAGAAAAAAAACTGTAAGTGTTGGTGTTGCCAGACCTTTCCTAGCTCAGGGCCCCTGTTTGGATTGTCATTGTTGTTCTTGTTCTTGTTATTTCTGTATTGTCTGCCTCTCGTCATTTGCTTTTTGTGTGTTGATTTTGGGAATTCTAAAAATGCTGCTGCCTCCTGTCTGCATCAGCGCTTGCACCAACGATGGACACGACGCACGGCGTTCAATGTCCTCTTCATGTTTGCTTTTTGCCATTGGTACACAAATACATGCATATGCATATATACATACATATGTGTGTGTATGTGTTGCCATATCGGATGCAGGCGACTGCTGGGCAGTCTCGACAAATCCCAACTTGTGAGTGTGTGGGAAGAGGGGGCAAGGGAACAGCAGATGACAGGTTTTTTTTTGCTCTTTTCTTTATTTTGCTTTATGTGTGTTTCATTCGTGGCTGCTGCTGCACAGGATGTTGTCGTGGTCTGTATGTGTGCCGATGTGCCCTTGTCTGTGTTGACGACGCCCGACAGGGTTTTTAGTTTTCATGGTCTGCCGCGCCATCGTCGTTGCTCTCTTGACAGATTCCGCTTACCCTGGCCAGACATAAACAAATGTACATAAATATGTGTATTATGTATATGTATCCGTGACCAGCTCATTGATTCAGTGCGAAAATAAATACAATATTCAGTTTCGATTATGTTTGATAAGAATAGTGGGAGGAAGAGGAAGAGCAGAGTTCAAGCACCGTATTGAATTTTTATTTGATTATCGATAAATTTTACTGTTGCAAATACATCTGCAAGTGTGATCTATATATGCATACATATATTTTAAAACTACAACCAAGTAAAAATCATTATTTTAACAACTAATAATATGATCAAACATAAAGCTATGCATATGTATATGTATGTGTGTTTTGTAAGTACATACGAACATACATAAATATGGCAGCTGCCGCGCTGCACACACATACATAAATATAAACGCATACAAACATTACATATACACACACATATGCAAGCAAATGCACTGACAAGCATGCAAAAGGGCGCACAACTTAATGGGGGAAACGAAATGAAAACGGAACGCAGACTAGACCAAATTGCAAATATGTACATTTGTAAGGGGAACGCATAATGTGAGTGAAACACGAAACGGCGCCAAGCGTCATAAAAGCCAAGCCAATGACACATACATACATACATACACACACAGAAACTCTCATTAAAAACTCCGCTATTACAACACAAGTTGAATGTTTATGTGTGTGTGGGTGTGGATCTGGATTGGACACCGGGACGTGAGAAACGTTTTGGGATAACGGAACACGGTTTTGCGTTAGTCACCACCACCACCAACGACGAAGACAGGCGCTGCTATAACAAACAACAGATGTGAGCGACGACGTCGCCGCCACCACTAAACACAAATGAGCCGCAGAACATGTAAAATATAAAATAAAATGGAAATAGCAGCAGAGGTAGGGAAGGAAGAGCAAACGGCCTAGCAACTATTAAAGTAATAATGTACAAATGTATATATATATATATATATAAAGTTGTGTGTGTGTGTGTCTGTAAAAACAAATAAAAAGAATAACAGAGTTGCGCGCTGCTGGCAGCGAACGAAGCGAACTGGTCTTCTAGCATACGCTTCCGCCTTTGCTTCGCACGCTTGGCGTCAGCATCGGCAGAGGCAGCAGCAGAGCGCAACTGCTGTCAGTGTGCATGAATTTGCATAATTTGATATTGTGTGCGTGTGTGTGTATGTATTAGCGCTGGGAGGCGTGGCGCACACAAGCAAAATATAAATGCAGAAAAAATGACACCTTTTTGGTTAATAAAGTGTCAATAAAATATATTTATGTATGCTTGCAAACACATATGGACAATAAGCTGATTTGAAGATTATTTTTATGATTTTTTTTTGGTTTATTTTATTGCTGCTTTTGCACAAACCTGTATTTCATTTGCTGCCGCCGCCACCGATGTGCTTGTTTTTGTTGTTGGTTCGCTGCAGTTTTATTTTCGCCATTTCTTTCATTATTCCTGTCTGCATTAACGCACAAAAAAAAAACGTTTGTGCCCGATCGTGTGTTTTTGTTGTTGTTTTTGAAATGTTGGCTTTTTTAAATTTATTTTTTCTTTTTTTTAGAGCAATGTGCCGATGCCGACGTTCACGTTAAAATGCATTGCACAAATAATTATGTTTGCAGTTGCATTTTTTCAGCCGCCTTGCTTTGCATATTATGCGCTGCTATTGTTGTTGTCGTGTTTCTTTTGCCGCCTTTTCTGCTACATAAGACTTTTTGTTGGTTCCAAACACACGAACACACACACATACATATGCATGTATTTATGCATGCACATGCACACACACACACAAACACACTCGCGGCACTTTTCTGTATGCAATATATGCTTATGCTGCTGCTGCTCCGTTTGAATTGGCAACTTTTTGTCACAAGCGTTGAATTACACTAGAAATTGATTGAAGTATTATGATTGTGACCTAAATAATAATTGCACTTATTATTATTATAGATAAACAACAACAATACGCTGTTTATAAATTCAGTGATTCAGTTTCGAGCGTGTTCTCGCTGTGTCTGTGCAAGCAGAACACGAGTGTTGCAAGACATCGAAAATAAACGAATACAACCAAATGCAATCGATAGTACAGGGCTGCCAACAAAACCGATAAAAGCTGTGCACGTTTGTTGATCGTGCACATCTCTAATTTACAACCATTTCAATTTCTAGCACAATGGGCGCATTGACAGAGGTAAATAAAGCAAAAGTTTACGTATAAAAGGACTAATAATTATAGTTTATTTATTAGCTGGCAGGTGATGAGAAAAACGGAGATGGCTCACGGACATTTGTGTTCAACAATGAGGGTCACACGTTGGGCAATGCACTGAAAACGATTATCGCACGCTATCCCGAAGTAGATTTCTGCGGTTACACGATACCGCACCCCACCGAGCAAAAGCTGCATTTTCGCATTCAGTCGCATCGGGAGCGAGCGATAGATTTGCTTAAGCGTGGATTGGAGGATTTGGAGGCGCTGTGCGATCATACAATGAACACGTTTGAGACAGAGATGAATAGCTTTAATGCCACCGCTGTGGGCAGTAATTAATGATACCAGTTACAATATATATGTATATAAATATATAGACTTATCCAATTCTAGACAACGCTGCGCGCCTTCTTGGGATCGTAGTTGGGTTTGCGCAGATGATGATAATTGGGCAGCACCTTGCGCAAGAAGTCAATTTGCAGCGTTTGTGAGCCCTGCTTCTCGATGGCCTCGCGTTGCAGTGCTTGCTGCCCATACACAATCGTATTCTCGGGCAGCACTTGGACGGTGCGCATCTGTATGCCAGCTCCAATCACACAGCCACCGGACACCGTTACACCCCTGCCCACAAAGCATTTGCTTTCGAACACATTCCGATCGCCTATCCGTGAAGCTTCCACATTGCAGCCAACCTCGAAAACGTTGTGACTACCAATGCTGAGAATATTGCTTGCATCCCAACTGGCACCATCGGCCAGGCGATGCGCTATCGTCGCGTACTCCTCCACAATACAATTCTCGCCAATGATTATCGGACCAGCGTCGGCGATGATTGTTGCACTGGGATGGACGACACAACCAGCGGAGAAGGTGATGTCACCGCGCAGTGTGCTCTCCTCACATACCACCGATTTGGGCAGTATTTTGATGCTGAATTTATGCAAAACTTCATTACAAATGCACTGCTTACGCATCCATCTAAAATGAAAGTGGCTTACTTGTTTTCCATAGGCATTGCAAAAATTGCATTCACTTTTCCAATTTGTTTACGTGCCTTGCACGATAGGCGCTAGCGATTAATCGATATTTGCATTTTTTTTTTACAATATGTTAATAGCAGCGGCCGATAATGTTATTAGTTGCAATTACTGTTCAGCTATCGCCTGGTATTTTTTATTTTTATTTATTTAGGTTTTATGATTTTAATTAAGTTGTATGTTTAGCATCAAATTTAATAAATATGTCTCTTTCATATTTGGCTAATTAAGCGTGGTATTTTCTTAGACTTGATTAAAAAACGCTGTTAATAACAGTAACAGTTCATGTTATGCCATGCTATTAAAAAAAATGTCCCATTTTAACAGTGCTACATCCCTCTTTTCGTTCTTTTGAGCTGATGCAATTTATTGTGCATATTGCAAAGTATACCGAGTTATAGTTATTAGTTACAACGAAAATTATTAGTCATTGAACAAACGAGATGGCTGAGAAGCAGTTCTCCGAATTAACTTTGAGTAAGTGTTGTTATAAAATTCAGTATTATATATTGCATGTTATAATTTCCAACAATGCGGCATATGCGGCTCCACGTTGTCAGACATCCACACTATGTCAAGAAAGTGTTTGGACATGCAAAAAATGCACAAAATTCTCATTACTGTTGAATAAACTGTACTTTATTATTAACTTTAATTTATATCTTATATTTCTTCTATTAAATGATGCTCTTACAACTGGGTAAAAATGCTATGATTCATCAACGAAGGCAGTTTTGATATTTTAAAAACCAAAATTATTCATTGTTTTGGACTGTCCTGAAAGTGTTCATGTTTACCATCTGTTTTCTTGTCTTTCGTCTCTGATATTGTTAAACATATTCTATTGATATAAAATAACAACCAGATCAGATAGCTCAAGAAATATATGATTTGTTGATCTTTTCTAGTATTTTTTTTGTGTCAAAACACATTCTTGTGTATATGCGCTATATGTGAAATATGAATAAGTTTTTGATATCTCAAAATTCGTTCTCAGGTTCGCTCTTCACCTCGGAGAAGCGTGGCAGCGATGAGTCCGGCGATGGCAGCGAGGCGAAGCCATTTAAAACCCTTTTGCGGGCGATGCGTCATGCCGACAAGGAGCCCCTCTTCACCTTCTATGTGGACAGCAAGGATCCCGAAGCGACCGAACTCTTTGAGCCGGCTACCAAAACGCAGCTGAAGAAAATGCATAAACTATTCGCGCGCGAAGGTCAGAAGAATGCGGGCAAGGAGCAACGCGAAGCGGAGGATGCCGCGAAGCGTGAACAGAATCTGGAGGAGGCACGCAAAATCAAGATCAGTGAGGATCCCAGCTGGCCGGTGGCCAAGCGCATTCGCATTGTCGATGGCGCCCAGGAGCGTGGCACTCGTGTCAAGATCTATGGCTGGGTGCATCGTCTCCGCCGTCAGGGTAAATCCCTGATGTTCATTACGTTGCGTGACGGCACCGGCTTTGTCCAGTGTGTGCTCAACGATCTGCTCTGTCAGACGTACGAGGCCGTTGTGCTGAACACGGAGAGCTCGGTGCTGCTGTACGGCACTTTGAGTCTGGTGCCCGAGGGCAAAACGGCGCCGGGTGGACACGAATTGAATGTGGATTATTGGGAATTGATCGGCTTGGCGCCGCCGGGCGGCGCTGATGCCATACTCAACGAGGAGGCTAATCCCGACGTTCAGCTGGACAACAGGCACATCATGATACGTGGCGAGAACACCTCCAAGGTGCTCAAGATGCGTTCGGTGGTGATGCAGGCGTTCCGTTCGCATTACTTTGAGCGCGGCTACACTGAGGTGACGCCACCAACGCTGGTCCAGACTCAGGTCGAGGGTGGCTCCACGCTCTTTAAGATGCAGTACTTCAACGAGGAGGCCTATCTCACGCAGAGTTCGCAGCTGTATCTGGAGACGTGTCTGCCGGCGCTGGGCGATGTCTTCACCATCGCGCAGAGCTATCGTGCCGAGCAGAGTCGGACGCGTCGCCATTTGGCCGAGTATACGCATATTGAGGGCGAGTGTCCGTTCATTACGTTTGAGGATCTGTTGAATCGCCTGGAGGATCTGGTCTGCGATGTGGTTGATCGTGTGCTGAAGTCGCCATGGGGCTATCTCGTCAAGGAGCTCAATCCGGACTTTAAGCCACCAACTAAGCCGTTCAGGCGCATGGAATACGCCGATGCCATCAAATGGTTGAAGGAGCACAATGTGACCAAGGACGATGGCACCTTCTATGAGTTTGGCGAGGACATACCCGAGGCACCCGAACGCAAAATGACGGACACCATCAATGAGCCAATTCTATTGATCAAATTCCCAGCGGAGATCAAATCGTTTTACATGTCACGCTGCAAGGAGGATCAGCGTCTCACCGAGAGCGTCGACGTCCTGCTGCCCAATGTGGGCGAGATTATTGGCGGCTCGATGAGGATCTACGACAGCGAAGAGCTAATGAAGGGCTACGAGCGCGAGGGCATCGATCCCACGCCATATTACTGGTACACCGACCAGCGTGTCTACGGCACAACGCCCCATGGCGGCTATGGTCTCGGCTTGGAACGATTCCTTTGCTGGCTGCTCAATCGCTATCACATCCGCGAGGTGTGCCTCTATCCACGCTTCCTCGACAGATGCAAGCCCTAAGCAGCGGTCCTCTTTCCACAACGACTGCATTTACGATGATATGTAATAAACCATTCTTGCTTCAAGCTTCAATCTTATTATATATGCAATCAAATTATATAAATATAAATATCAAATTATACGCAAATCGAAATCTCTGTAAACTGGAGAATATTCAAGGAGATATTGTCAAAGGCAACTCCAACTATGCAAGAGCTGTTCCAAAAACTATTAAAGAGCCAATAAACTGATTACACAACTATGCACTATCTTTATCAATATATATATATATATATCAGATATGAAATAGAAGAGCAATCGGTAGACAAATCTTGTTGAATTTTAATTCAGACTCCAATTAAAATACAGCTAACTATAAATAAAAATAAATTTTGTATACACAAAATACATTTTATTTATTTAATGTCGACAGAGAAATATACAAAAAGTAATTAATAAATTCAATTAAAAATGAAACTTAATATTCAAGTTAATTAAAATAAACCCAGAAAAACCCAATTAGACAAAAAATATAGTTTGAGTCACAAATGGAATCATTTAAATCACGAGACAAGTCATTTATAATTTATTTCTTAATTCATTTATAATTTATTTCTTAATTATAGAAATATATGATTCTGAATGGATTAAATGAAAAAATCAATTGTAATTTATTTGGATATTTAACAATTACACAACGAATTTGGGTTCGGCAACCGGATTATGAAATCATCAAATATTTAAATACAAATTTATTCGCACTTTTAACCCCAATTCATAACACTATTGTTAAAGATTTTGTTTCGTTGGCGTCGTTCAGCATCTTGGACCCTGTATGCCTATAAAATGGAGAATTCTTATCTAATAAGTAAATAGAGAATATTTATTTAAATGTCGAGATTTACCTGGTTGCGATATCGTTCTTTTTCTTTGTCGCTCATGCAACGCCATTGTTTGGAAGCCAACTTGGACAGCTGCCCCACACTCAAGCCGCAATATTTTCGACGCACGTGTCTCAAATAGTTAAGGAACGCATTGTTTGTCATCGGTCCTGGACTGTGGGCATATTTTATTTTGGCAGCAGTGCGCTTTTTACTCTTGCGCTTCGAGCAGGCGTTGGACTTCCTTTTCCGTGAGGCGCACTTTGATCGAACTGAACAGGAGGACTCTTCGTGATTGTCAGCTTCATCGACCATTTTATTCATTATTATTTGTCTTACCGTCGCCGGATGGTAAAAAAAAATTGAGATTTAAGTTTCTGATTACATAGCCAAACATTTCTCTTTTTTTTTGTTTAAATATTATTACACTCACCGAAAATTTTAAAAGAAACAAATAAAATGCGTAGACTTAACTTCACATGACAGTGCAACAAATATTTTCAAACTGAAAGATGTGGCAGATCCAAATTGAACAATGAAAACAGCAGCCTACTTGGCTCATTAAATGTTATCCCTTATAAATATGAATGAAGATGCAATTGGATGTGGATAATTCTTAATAGTCTAAGCCCTTCATTTGCTTAGAATATAGAAGAATTTATATATTATATTTGAAGAAATACAATAACTGCTTGCATATTAAAAAATGCATTAATCAGCTAAGCTAATAACTAATAATCTTGGCCCATTTTGCTTTTAAATAGCCTTGGAAATCCTATAAATATTTCTTTTTATTTACATTTTATTTTTAATTTAATTTAATTTATATTTTATTTTTTGTATTTTCCTTCTCTGAACTGAATTTCCTCTTTCAATATATATATATAAATCAAATCAAATTAAATAAATATATATTTAGCTCATTTTCAATCACTCTTAGCTTCATATCAGCTTGTGATATTGTTGAGCAACTGTTCAATATTCTTATCGACAAAGTTTTCGGTGACTGGTGTCTCGTCCAGTTCCATGTCCTCTTCATGCGTCTCCTCATCGTCGACGAAGTACTCCTCATCTTCGGGCTCCGGTTCGCCATCGGCTTGTGGCACCGCCTCCACCTCGGCAGTTAGATGCTCCTTGCGATAGTGATTGCGCAGCAGATCGCTGATTGTGGCGCACACAATTTGACGCACCTGCGCATCGAAGCTGGGTGGCAGCCAGCCGGTGCGTTCATTGCAAACGGCGCCCGTTAGTGGCGTGGGTATCTTTTCCAGCATTTCCTGTATCTTTGGCAAACGGACATCGCAATAGCGCAGCATACACTGCCTGGAACGCGGCAACTTGTGCTCATCGAAATACGGATAATCAATGTTCTGCACCAGATCACATTTTAGCTCCTCGGCAGCGACGGTGGAGGAGCGCTTCTGCTTGGCCGATTTGCGGGAGTAGACGAACTCCGAGACGCCCGAACCGAAGCGTAAACGAAAGTCAAATGTCTGATAGTGACGACTCTTGAAATCCTTGCGCGGATCGTAGCCATAGCGTACATAGAGCGTTCGCCAGGGTCCATTGCTGAAGTAGAACGCCAGCGAGGGTATTATGCATTTGAGTTTCTCATTGGTCACACCAGATTCGTAGAGCAATGCTATACGCGTCCAGATGGGACTCTCATCGAACAGTTTTTTGACGCGTGCAAATTGCTCATCCGACACATATTTGACCTTGAGACGCTTGAGGATCTGTGCATCCGGCTGCGTGGGAAATACATCCTGCATGTTAAACGAAACGACATCGTGATTGTCATAGCTGGACTTGGCCAATACGCCCAGCACCTCCTGCTGTCCATCCTCACCGCCATCGATGCGATAGTGTCCACCATGGACAATGTCAACGCGCGCAAACAGCTCCGGCAAACAGAGCAGCTGCGACTGTGCGCGTCTGTAATAGTAATATAGTAATATATATGTCTGAAGGTATCACATGATTCCACTGACTTGAAATAGTCCAAGTCGGTCACATCACGCGGCTGCAGCTGATCCAATGCATATCTTAGCTCTGAAGCGGCGCTGGCGTCTTCACTTTTGGGCGTATGCCACAGCGGCAGATACTGAAAGTCACAGAGTGCTAATACGACTAGGTCATTCACTGTTTCTTATTTATTATTATCGCTATCGCTTACATTCGAAGGAGAAGCTGCGACTGCAGTGGCCCAGCACACGCACAAAATGCTGGGGAGGACGCGATTTGTCGCGCTTGTGGCGGCGCACGGTTATCGAGAGTAGAACGCCCGATTTGTCGGTGCAGTCACCAAAGGTGGGCTTATTGTACGGATTATCCGGATGAAAGCGCAACTCCAAACGACGCTTCTCATCGCCCAGCACCTGCAAAGTGTTTATATTTTATATGTAAGCAGCACTTCTTCTCTTTCGCTCGTTTTACTTTCGATATGTTGACTATGCCGCCTAGCGTGGATAGCATGCGATCTGTGTTTACTACACGGCCAGGATATTCAATTAACTCATATTCCTGCTGTGGACTGAAGCTTAATTGACGCGACATTATCGCTGAAATTTGTCTGGTTTACAAAACCACAACACATTCATTTATTGCGGCGCGCGTGTTGTAATCGACATCTGATACAGTTATCGATATATTACGATAACATTTGTAATTGTTTGCAGCTGTGCAAAAAGGTAATATAAGGAGCTCAAATTATATTAAAATGTACTATTAAAATTTAATTGCACACATGAGACAGTTTTATTATAATAATATTTACAGATTAATTATAACATAATATTAATAATGTGTATTAAAATTGAAATAATAGTTAACAACGATTTAATTTTTCCCAGCTTTGAGCTGCGTACCTCTAAGCGAATAATCTGTTTACATTCTGCATTGTGAACAGCATACATGCCTTGAGCAACCGGCGAGCTCAATTGTTTATGGTGTGTTGTGATTAAATTTCGCTTATAAAGATGTCGAGCAAAAATCGAAAACGCACGGCCAGCAGCAGCAGTAGTAGCGCAGAAGAGCCGGACAGCGAGGAGGAGTCCCGTCTAAAGGATCTGCGTGAGCGAGATGAGTTCTCCAAGCGGCTCAAGGAGCGCGATGAGGAACGAACACGCAAAGTGGTTGAGGCAACGGGCGGGCGCAAGGCGATTGAGGAAGCAACCAAACGGCTTAAGCTCGAGCATGAAGATCGTGATAAGATTGTGCCCCATCTGCGCGTCCAATCACGTCGCCAATATCTGGAGAAACGCAAGGACGACAAAGTGGCCGAACTGGAAGCGGATATCCTAGATGATGAGTATCTGTTTGAGGATAGCGTGTAAGTATTTAGTCCACTGCTGTTGCCAGTTGTTGAGTCTCGACTTCTGTTGCTCCAGGTTGACCAAACGCGAGCGGGAGGAGCGTCAGTACAAGAAACAGCTGTTGAGCATTGCCCAGGAGCATGAGAAGGCGCGGGAACTGGAGCGCGTACAGCGCTATCATATGCCGCAGGATCTAAAGAAAGGCGAACGATGTAAGTGGATCACAGTTGATGTATTCCATATTGACTAACTATTTGTATTGCAGCTGAGTATGTCGAGGTGGATGAGTTCGAGAAGCAGCCCAACTCGGAGCAAAAGAAATGGGAGGCTGAGCAGCTGGCCTCGGCACGTTTCCAGTTTGGCGCCAAGGATGCCAAGGCTGAGGAGGAGTATGAACTGTTGCTGGATGATCAAATTGACTTCATTCAGGCCCTAACGCTCGAGGGGCATCGCGAGAAAGCCACAAAGGAACCGGAACTAACAGAGAAGGAAAGGAAACGTCTGACGCTGGACGAGACACGGAGATCATTGCCGGTGTTTCCCTTCAAGGAGGATCTCATAGCAGCCGTTAAGGCGCACCAGGTGCTAATCGTCGAAGGTGAGACCGGTTCAGGCAAGACAACACAGGTGCCGCAGTATCTGGTCGAGGCCGGCTTCACAGACGACAAAAAGATGATTGGATGCACGCAGCCGCGTCGCGTTGCCGCCATGTCTGTGGCGGCTCGAGTCGCCGAGGAGATGGGCGTCAAGCTGGGCAACGAGGTGGGCTACAGCATACGCTTCGAGGACTGCACCTCGGATCGCACCATATTGAAGTACATGACAGATGGTACGCTGCACCGTGAGTTCCTCTCCGAACCGGATCTGGGCTCCTACAGTGTCATGATCATCGATGAGGCACACGAGCGCACCCTGCACACGGATATTCTGTTTGGACTGGTCAAGGACATAGCACGCTTTCGGCCGGAGCTCAAACTGTTGATATCGAGCGCCACACTGGATGCCGAGAAGTTCTCAGCCTTCTTTGATGATGCGCCCATTTTTCGCATACCCGGCCGACGATATCCGGTGGATATATTCTATACGAAAGCGCCGGAGGCGGACTATATTGATGCGTGTTGTGTGTCGGTGCTGCAGATTCATGCCACACAGCCGCTTGGTGATATTTTGGTGTTTCTCACCGGCCAGGATGAGATCGAGACGTGCCAAGAGGTGCTGCAGGATCGCGTCAAACGTTTGGGCTCCAAAATACGCGAGCTCATTGTCATTCCTGTCTATGCCAATTTGCCCAGCGACATGCAGGCGAAAATCTTTGAGCCAACGCCGCCCAATGCACGTAAGGTGATTCTCGCCACGAATATTGCGGAAACATCGCTGACCATTGATAACATCATCTATGTCATCGACCCGGGCTTTGCCAAGCAGAATAACTTTAATTCGCGCACCGGCATGGAGTCGCTAATGGTGGTCCCCATCTCAAAGGCGTCCGCAAATCAGCGTGCCGGGCGTGCTGGACGTACAGCGCCGGGTAAATGTTTCCGCTTGTATACTGCCTGGGCGTACAAACACGAGCTGGAGGAGAATACAGTGCCGGAGATCTGTCGCATCAATCTGGGCAATGCTGTGCTCATGCTCAAGGCATTGGGCATCAACGATCTGATACACTTTGACTTCCTAGATCCGCCGCCACACGAGACGCTGGTGCTGGCACTCGAACAGCTTTATGCTTTGGGTGCGCTCAATCATCATGGTGAATTGACAAAGCTGGGAAGACGCATGGCCGAGTTTCCCGTGGACCCCATGATGGGCAAGATGCTGCTAGCCAGCGAGAAGTAAGTGGAGTTTTTTTCGAATTTGCATTTTATTTAGATTTTGGATACATTTTTAATTCAATTGCAGATACAAGTGCTCGGAGGAGATGGTCACCATAGCGGCCATGTTATCAGTTAATAGCGCCATCTTCTATCGGCCCAAGGATAAGATTATTCACGCGGATACGGCACGCAAGAATTTCAATCATCTGCACGGCGATCATCTGAGCCTGCTGCAGGTCTACAATCAGTGGGCAGAGACGGATTACAGCACCCAGTGGTGCTACGAGAACTTCATACAGTATCGTTCCATGAAGCGGGCCCGGGACGTGCGGGAACAGCTTGTCGGTCTGATGCAGCGCGTCGAAATCGATATGGTTAGCTGCTTGCCAGAGACGATCAATGTACGCAAAGCCGCCACAGCCGGCTACTTTTATCATGTGGCGCGCCTTTCCAAAGGCGGCCACTACAAGACCATCAAACACAATCAAACTGTTATGATACATCCCAACTCGTCGCTCTTTGAGGAGCTGCCCCGTTGGGTGCTCTACCATGAGCTGGTGTTTACCTCCAAGGAGTATATGCGTCAGGTGATTGAAATCGAGAGCAAGTGGCTGCTAGAGGTTGCACCCCATTACTACAAGGCCAAGGAACTGGAAGATTCAACTAACAAAAAGATGCCTAAGGGGGCAGGACGCGCAGAAATGACACAATAAATGTTTTTAATAACCTTATTTTGGATTTGTTTGTTTATTTTTAATAGTCTAAAATGTACTAAAATTTAACATTTGTAAATTGTTTGAAACGCCCGGGTTCTGATTGGAATATTTCGTAGACTATCGACTTATCGATATTTCTAAACAGCGTGGACCACTCAGAATCATAAGTGACATTGCCACTGAAGCTGTTTTGCAACACTGTCAGCTGTCGTTTCGTTGCGTGCGGTTTTAACAAAGCGAGCAATCTTGTACAATTATAACATCATTTACATTATAAACGAGTGCACAAGCAAATAAAAAGTTAGTAGAAATTGTTAATACAAACGTGTCCTTAAAAACAATACCCAAATGTATATCAATCACAGCGCAGACTTTGAACTCGGGAAGTTTACATGACTTTCTAACCTACAAATCTGACGAAATACAAAAACCCAGTCGGCATTTCAGTTCATTTACATAAACATACAAAATACACCCATAAATTTACATCTAAAGCTGCATAGTTTTTCTTGTGTTATTTTTTTCTTGTAGATAATGGCTGCGCAATTCTTTAATCGTATTGGCCAAATGGGTCTCGGCGTTGCACTGCTGGGCGGCGTTGTGAACTCCGCATTATATAACGTTGAGGGTGGCCATCGGGCGGTGATTTTCGATCGCTTCACTGGCATCAAGGAGAACGTTGTCGGCGAGGGCACACATTTCTTTATTCCCTGGGTGCAGCGTCCCATTATCTTCGATATTCGTGCACAGCCTCGAAATGTGCCGGTGATAACCGGCAGCAAAGATTTGCAGAATGTCAACATTACACTGCGTATCTTGTATCGTCCCATACCCGATCAACTGCCCAAGATCTATACAATTCTGGGTCAAGATTACGATGAGCGTGTGCTGCCATCCATTGCGCCCGAGGTGCTGAAGGCTGTTGTCGCCCAGTTCGATGCCGGCGAACTGATTACACAGCGTGAGGTGAGCAACAAAACTTGAAATTAAAAGACATATTTAAGATCCACTCCACGCATTATTCACAGATGGTCTCGCAGCGCGTCTCTCAAGAGCTTACTGTGCGTGCCAAGCAATTCGGCTTCATTTTGGATGATATCTCGCTGACACATTTGACCTTTGGCCGTGAGTTTACACTGGCCGTCGAAATGAAACAGGTGGCTCAGCAGGAGGCCGAGAAGGCGCGCTTTGTGGTGGAGAAGGCTGAGCAACAGAAGCTGGCTTCCATTATTTCAGCCGAGGGTGATGCCGAGGCTGCCGGTTTGCTGGCCAAATCTTTCGGTGAGGCCGGCGATGGTCTTGTCGAGCTGCGTCGTATTGAGGCCGCCGAGGACATTGCCTACCAGCTATCGAGGTCACGTGGCGTCGCCTATTTGCCCAGTGGACAGAGCACGCTGCTCAATCTTCCCTCTACCCTTGCGCAGTAGTAGACTGATTGACTAATCGAATAAGTTGTAACTATCTGTAGCATTTATTAAGTACTTTCGATTTTGTTTATTTCTTTTTACCATTCTATGCACTTTGTAACGCATCGCCTTCTGCAATAGAAAATGGCCAATATTTGTATCACTTTGGACCCATCTTTTGTACGGGCTCTTGTCGTTCAACTTTGTTATTTCCGAATGGCTCCATGCCTGCATCTGAGCTAATCTTGCAAGTCTTTGAGCTCGGACCGTAAGGCGTAAAATTACATCGTGCAGGATTATTACAAATTTGTTATGTGAACAAAAGAATTCAATACAATAAATACATATTAAATATGAAATTTACACCTAAATTCTGTTTTCTATTGGGGAACAAATTAAATATTGTTACTTGCCGGGTTTATTGCAAGCTTGTATTTATTAAAAAGCCATATCTCGATTGGTAAATCGGTCGTGACTTTGTCATGATTAGGACTGTTCGGATGTTGTTTACACAGATAGAGCAAAGGTCCTTCAAACACAATAGTTAAAAAAGTTTTTATAGTCTTGCATATCCTAGCGAACTACTTATTAGGACCAATTTATTTGTGGCCCACTTCCATTCGACCTGAAGCTGCAATCGTTCAAGTTTTTGGTTATTATATGACTCTCAACAGTAACCTGGAATGCCAATCAATGGAATTGGTAATTTTTGTCTCATTCTTTAAAAACATCTACAGGATTGTTACCAAGCTAATCAAGATTGTTAAAAAAAATAAATGTCGTTGGTGTATGACTCATCCTAAAAGAGTACTTCTAACTACCTGAAACTAAGAATTGTATTTATCCCTATAAATAGGCATTGATATTTTAGATTTTTCTCAAAGACTGATTTTATTATTCAACCAGCTATGACTTTAATTTCGTAAATTTTGTAGCATGCAGAAAACTTGATTCACCCTGAAAATATGCAATGTTTTGTTGTCTTTAAGAAAATGACTTTGCTTCGTTCTTATTAGTGATCCTCTAAATATGTTGCATGATTATTGTTCTGTGCTAAAAGCACTTATTAATAGGAAAACAAAAGCATTATAATTTGGGCAAAAGGTCCGCAATGTGTTATGGATAGCATAGTTCGAGCTACAAGTTTGAAGAGAAAAAGGAGGAAAACGTTTCTAAAGAAATCCGCATAAAATTTTTTCCGAGAAATTGGATCGGGCAACGCTGTAACGAGAGTAATCCAAGAAAAAGCCATTTTCCCTGAATTTCTTTCATTCCCGACTTTCGATTCTTTAATTTGATTAATTCTCTTGTTAGCCACAAATTAAATCAATTATCCAAAGTCAGTCTATATCAGCCAAGAAGGAATGAAATAATTTCCCTTTGTTTCGTTCAAGTTTCGATTTTTTCATCTTCTTTGGATGCTGGAATTGTCCAATTTATCGCCTCGCATGGAATTAATATGCTTTTTGTTCGCTCGATTATGCAATCCCCCACGTCTAGGTGCCATTTCAGTACATCTTTACCCCATGAATAGCCAGGCTTTCAACTCAAGTCAGCCATAAATCAAATTGAAGCACTTTAACATTAAGTAAGAAAGCAGAAAGCAGAAGTCACCCGCCCCGCCCATCATCATCTTCACTCCAAGCCACTCCACTCCGCTCTGCCCATTGAAACTGAGCGCAGGATACACAGAAGTATGTTGGGGTTGGTTGGTCGGAGTTGGGTTGAGGATGCTGGCGGTGGCATCACAATAAGGGCCAAGTTGCCGTTGGCATTGCAAAAATCTGTTGATTCAGTCAAGTGATTTGCCAAAGTGGCTTCGTTCCAAATGCCAGGCGCACGCAAACTCACACACCACACACCACACACACACTCAGCAACAGTTGGGTGATTTCCCTTTTCCTTTCACGGACACATAATGGAGAGCAAAGCTTTTGACGTCATGAAACATTAATGCAAGTCTCGTGCTCGGGTCTGGCCGAAATATCTATTGGATACATTTAAATGTACAGGTCCAGCTGCCTTCTTTCAATTCTAGCTAAAACCTGTCGCTAAATGTCGCATGCGCTTGACAAAATGTAAATTTTATAGTTTTCGAGTTTGTTGTCATTATGAAGTCAATTTAGTAACCTTTTTGTTGTTTTTGTTTTCTTTTTTAACTGGTTTCTCTTACGTCTCTCAGTTAGTTTTAGGAAACCCCATGCAACATGTGACTCATAAGCGCTGGGGGAATTCTTTTTTAATGCTTCTTAAAAATCAACCTAATTATTATGCATCGCTATAGCTTCAAAGATTATTGTTTACATTTCGTATTATTGCTGTTTAAATTCACTTACATCGAATGACGTCGGCCAAATATCAAACATTAATTGTGTTGTCAACAGATTGAATAAATAAATGTAAATAAAAAATGCAGACACACACACCTGTTATTAATTATTTATAACAAATTTAATGCTTCTACATTCTACATTCAGTTTCAGTTTAGCGAATGGGCATTGATTAGATTGCGAGTCGAGTGTAACAGGTGAACCGGTCCTGCGGCTACTCTGAGAGCTCGGAGCTCGGAGCTCGCACAACTCACAACTCACTGCTCACCACTCGCAGCTCTCATCTGGTGCGATGCTTTAAAAGCTTTGGCCGAGCGACGAGCAGCACTCAGTTGGCTAACGGTTGCCAGAGCGGGCACAGCTTGATTAAATTTGCAAAGAACAAAAAAAAAATAGAAACAGAAAAAGAAGAAACAAACGTAAACGTGAAACAACAAAAACAAAAAACAACAATAAAACGACAACAACAGAAAAGTGCAAATAATTAAAAGCAAGTCAACTTAAGTGCACAAACGGTGAGTGCGTGTGCCTCTTGGGCATATTTAAACAATTAATGTGCTTTACAAAATAGTACCACTTAAATGTCTACATGGGCGTATACGTAATCTTCTGCGAACTGACCTTTCAAGCGCTGCTTTAATTCAAATTTTAAGTCTACATTCAGCCTTGTCGACTGTTTTTTTTTTTAGCATTCCTACAATCGAATCAATTTTTGGCTTGTTCTGGTCTGGTTTTTAACAACTTTGTAGTTGTAGTAGTTGCAGCCTCAATGCCAAACCGCTTTGTCGACTGGTATTTATCCAAAAATAGGGCTTAAAACTGCCTTCAATAAAGGTTTTAAGCATTTTAACTATAAATGCAATTGAATTAACTTATAACTTGTCCACTTGGCACACAAAGTCTGTGCATAAAGCAAAGCAAACAAATTTGCAAAAGCAACTTTTTCCAATGGCTTCAACAAGTATTCTAAAACATACACTTGGGAAAAAAACCTTGTACATTAGTTGTCTAAAATAGATTTATTGCTTATGAATTATGCAAGAATGAAATAATGCAAATAAGACATGCAATGCATTGAAAAATTAAAGCTTTTATAAATAGTAAATAATAAAATAAATGAATAAATGTATTTAGATGTAAGCAGGGGACTGCGGTCAGCATGGAATATATTTTTGCCATATCAAAAATTGTTATTAATTAGATTAGTTTGCACTGATAACTATTATCAGAATAGTAATCTCGCATATAAGATTCACGTACGCACGTAGCACTAATATAAATAAAACTCTTTACTCACACTCATACTAACATTTACACGCTTTTACTAATCTAAAACTTGATTCATAACAAGCACAGTATTCAATCTAAAACACTCACTATTCATTAAACATGAGCAAAACTCCTACTAATATTACGATGCCCTTGAAAAGTGAGTGTAAATCGGCATCTAACACTGTGGTGGTAGATAAGCTGGATTCCAGGGTATCGGTGAGTGTTTCAAATGTCTCTAATTTTCGAATAATGTGTAAATTATATAAATTAACGATCGCTAATTAATATTGAATTGTTTGCATTACGCTTACAGATCGATATGGAGGCGCCCGAATTTAAAGATTTTGCCAAAACGATGGTGGATTATATAGCCAATTACTTGGAAAACATACGCGAAAGGTGAGTGCTTTACTTAATTAACATTTATTTTAATTTAAGGACACATTCTTATACATATTTATTATTTGTACATAAGTGTGCAAGTATGTGCGTAATTTATGTGCGACAGTTAAGGTATTGATGACAGTTATTCATTAACTTGATTTGATCTCACAATTCGAAAGTTCGCTCTGGTTGACCCAGGGTTAGACATATTTCCGTATCGATGTGAATGACTTTTTTATATTTCGAATTATTGTGAGTCATTGGAAAGTATCGGCCACATTTGTTCGCCCGTTTCGGCCTTCTGTTGTCTAACTGTTTAAGCCTTTCACAACGTTCTTTTTTTTTGCCAGTGTGTTTCGAAATTGCCGGCTAATTAATTACAACATTATAAGGTTTTTAGCTGCTTTGATGGCGTGTCAAGGTCAACTTTGTTAGTTACCTTCGGCTACCTTGTTCATTGTTCTTGAACAATTTTGTTTACTGGTATTATTGCCTCGAAACTTTCAGATCTCATATTATTTTGCTAATAATTTTTTAGTATTTTGTGATTTCATTCTGATTATCACGCAATTTGCTAATCGTGCATATTAATATTAATAATTGGTCAAATATTCATTTGTATTCTGTGAATAATTAGAAAAGGAAACATTTCTTGTCACTAAAAAGATTTGAATGTAAACAAGTCTTAAAGTTATTAAAGTCATTTACTACATATTGCTACATATTATGGCAATCTGATTCCAATTAAAATCGGTTAGGGTTTCTTATCTGATAGAGATAGAAAATAGATACAAATAGTTAAATACGTATTAGAACATTAAGATGGAAATGAACTGAATTAAGCCTAAAAGCCATTCGAGATTCTTTAAGCTTCTATTGATTTTTAATAAACTGGCAACAAGTGGCAAGTTGTGGGTGGGTTGTGTGGGTGGTTGGGTTTCTTGTTGCAATTCAATTTGCTGAAAACTTTGTTGGAGCTTTTCTGAATGGTTACTGATGAGGTTACTAATGAAATTGCTGTTGGCTGTCATTGTTCCTTGCAGGCGAGTGCTGCCGGAGGTGAAGCCTGGTTATTTGCAGCCACTGATACCAGAGACCGCACCGGAGAAGCCCGAGGATTGGCAGGATGTGATGAAGGACATTGAGAGAGTGATCATGCCGGGCGTGACCCACTGGCACAGTCCCAAATTCCATGCTTATTTCCCAACGGCCAACTCCTATCCGGCAATTGTGGCGGATATGCTGAGCGGTGCGATCGCCTGCATTGGATTCACCTGGATCGCGAGTCCAGCATGTACTGAGCTCGAAGTGGTCATGCTCGATTGGTTGGGCAAGATGCTGGACTTGCCGTCGGAGTTTCTGGCTTGTTCGGGTGGCAAAGGCGGCGGCGTCATTCAGGGCACAGCCAGCGAGTCCACTTTGGTGGCATTGCTGGGCGCCAAGGCGAAGAAGATGCAGGAGGTGAAGGCAGAGCATCCAGATTGGGATGAGCAGACGATCATTGGCAAACTAGTGGGCTATGCCTCCGCCCAGGCGCATTCCTCTGTGGAACGCGCTGGACTTTTGGGTGGCATCAAGCTGCGCTCGGTGCCGGCTGACGAGCACAATCGCCTACGTGGCGATGCTTTGGAGGCGGCAATCAAGCAAGATTTGGCTGATGGTCTGATACCCTTCTATGCCGTGGTCACCTTGGGCACCACAAACTCGTGCGCCTTCGATCGCCTGGATGAGTGCGGTCCGGTGGGCAACAAGCACAATGTGTGGGTGCATGTGGATGCTGCGTATGCCGGATCCGCTTTCATTTGCCCAGAGTATCGTCATTACATGAAGGGCATGGAGACCGCCGACTCGTTCAACTTCAATCCACACAAATGGATGTTGGTCAACTTCGATTGTTCGGCCATGTGGCTTAAGGATCCCAGCTGGGTGGTGAACGCATTCAATGTGGATCCACTGTACCTGAAGCATGACATGCAGGGCTCAGCACCCGACTATCGCCACTGGCAAATTCCACTGGGTCGCCGATTCCGTGCCCTCAAGCTCTGGTTTGTGCTGCGTCTGTACGGTGTGGAGAATCTTCAGGCTCACATTCGACGCCATTGTGGTTTTGCCAAGCAGTTCGGTGATCTCTGTGTGAAGGATGAGCGCTTTGAGCTTGCTTCCGAGGTGAATATGGGTCTGGTCTGCTTCCGGCTGAAGGGCAGCAATGAGCGCAACGAGGCGCTGCTCAAGCGCATCAATGGACGCGGCAATATACACATGGTGCCGGCCAAGATCCGCGATGTCTACTTCTTGCGCATGGCTGTTTGCTCCCGGTTCACACAAAGCGAGGACATGGAGTACTCGTGGAAGGAAGTTAGCGCTGCTGCTGATGAAATGGAGCAAAGTGAGGCAGCTGACGAAAAGTGAGCGGCAAAATAATCGAAGTATTAAAAGTGACATGTTTAGGGAATATTTTTACATTGGTCGCTCATCCATCTTTCAAATCGCAAACATAGAGAACTGATCCGACTTTTTACTTCCTAAAATATTTAATTTTCATTTAGCTAGCTAAATATATCTGAAATGCTTGACACATAATGTGGTATTCTCAAAGTGAAACGCGGAACAGTTCGCATAATCAGAAAATAAATCATCGTTATTATTGTTGTTGATGTTTTTAAATGCTATCCTATTTAATAAATGTGCTTAAATAATATTTAACAAATTTATAACTATTAATTTGGACTACAGCCTCTGAATTTGTATCGAAATATGCCAGGTGTGAGATTAGGCGCAATACTTCATGTTGTAAAAGTCAATGATGCGCTGCGCCTCGCGTATGCCGCTCGATCGTGCCCCATCTATGGTGCCAAAGCCGTTAAGTGCCGTCGCATCGCCGGCAAAGAGCAGCGTCGGTGCTGCATCCCCGAGCGGCGCCGCTAAGCTCTGCACATCCCGGGCGCTGCTGTTGACGGAGAAATAGGGTCGGCCGCCTAGATAGCAGGCCGAGCTATTCCAGTTCGAGCGCAACATGGCCTGCGGATAGGGAATACGCGGATTACAGAGACACTGGCGCAACAGATTCGTTATCTGCTCCAGCAGCGTTGCATCCGGCAGCTTCTCGATCTCATCATAGTAGCCGCCACCGACGCGTATTTCTAGAACATGCCTGCTGCTCGGCTGCTGAGATATTTCCACAACCTGTTGTGTCCAGCAACGCAGCGGATTAGCGCTGCTGACATCAGCGGCTTGCGTTTGAATTGGCTTCAGCAGTGAGCCCAATGGACGAAAATTTGATTTTAGCCAGTGATTGATAGGCCGTTTGTACGAAAGATAGATCTTGACGGGATTACCAAAGCCCAGATTCTGTATGGCTTGTAACTTATTCAGTGGGAGCATGGGCTTAAACAGCGCTGCCGAAAAGTTCTTCAACACACCCAGTGGCAGCGTGCAGATGATGTGATCAGCATGGTACAAACTGCCATCCAAGCAGCCAACAAGCTGGCATTCTGTTTGCGTTTTCCATTGTATCTGGCCAACTGGTTTGCCCGTCTGCAGCTGCTGGCCGCCCAAGTTGTGTGTTAGATCATTCACAATATTGTCCAGGCCAGTGGGCACGTAAATGGGATTCGATTCCTGCTCGAGTGGACAGCTGGTCACGTACTGGATATTCATATACTCCAGACAGCAGCCCAATATACTGCTGAAATCCTTGAAAAGTGACTGAAAGATTTCACGAGCCATTGTCTGTTCGCTGGGCAGCTTAAACGATGCACTTATGAGCTTATCACTCTCCGACTGAAAGTAGCTCATAACATTGTCCAGCGAGTGCAGATCACCTCCACTTTTCACCTTGTCACGTACCCTGTAGCCGCGACACAAGTCTCGAAACAGCGTGTCTATCAGCTCCACCATTCTGGGCGGAATGTTACTCTGCTGCCCCTCGCCCTCTGCGTGTATATATCTGACGCGCGTTGGCTGTTTGAGCTCTTTGGTCAATCCTTCGGCATTGCGTAACAGCTCGTACATGGAGTCGTGGGAGCCATCAATGTTAACCCACTTTGCACCCAGTTCGCAATATGTGTCGCCGAAACGTTTGGAGTTAATGCGACCCCCATAACGATCCGTTGCCTCCAGCACGAGTGTATTGTGAAATCCATTGGCCAGGAGATGCTGCGCAGCTGACAGGCCCGCCAGCCCACCACCAATGATAACAATTTGGGCATTCAGCTTTGTCGACTCCAAGTTGTAGTTGAAATCGTGACGGTTTCCATGCTGCTGCAGTCCGGTTACCTCCGCTTGAAGTGCCGCTGCATTGTATAAGCTGCGCCTGCTAGCTAGTCTATACATAACTAAACGAATGCAGAAATAATATTATTGAAAATACATTTAAACAGCAATACAAATTGGACTTACCATTGCAAATCAAAATCTCACCCGGCTTGGAAAAGTGTAGTTAATTTTGTAAAATCTGAATCGGTTGTGATTTATTTATATTTGATGTTTTCAATCGACCAAAATTTTGTCGCAATCAGACATATTTTCAAATGCTCTCACAATATATCAGATATTTTCTAACGTATTGCTTGTCAAGCAATGTTTTTTATTTTTATTAAATAGCTTAAATATCTTTGTACTCGGAACCTTGTTATGGTAAGCTCATGCAAGTACAATAAATATCGTGTATTAAATCAATTTTTGGTCGCAAGCGTATTTTGTATTCGTCTTGCCACTTTTACTTTTGTTTATTAATATCGTTTGCACATCCCGATATTGTATATCGATATTGTATAGGTATGTACACACTGTTTTAAGGGCGGCAAGATTTCAAATTTATTCTGATTAATTATTTAATGAGTTTTTACAATACCATAGTGTAGTCTATTTTATTAATTAATCGAACAGTCTAAGATTGATATTAAATGTGCCCTTTAAACTTTGAAATGCGGGCCTAAACTGCTGTCGATGGTTGTCGGGATGAAATGCTTTTATTGAGAGTCTGGTATTGCCACTGTTTGTTGAGTAATTATATGAACATCTGTTTGTATCTGTTGCTGTTTGGCATCACTGTTTACTTTTACTTATTAATATCGTATGCTCATGACGATATTTTATATCGGTATTGGATAGTTATGTACATTTTCGCACACTGTTTTAAAGGCGGTAAGCTTTTAAATTTATTCTGTTTAAAATTTTAATATGTATTTCCAAAATCAGAGTATGCTCATTTATTTATAATTATATTTTTATCCATTTATTAAACCTTAACTTTTTGCTACATTGCCAACGATCAGACCAACTAAAATTAAATTAAGCATAAATATTGTCTACATAAGTAAGTTTGAATGTTGAAGTTGGAGTAGTTTTGAACTAGCGGCGCAAAGTTTCATTCGTTAGCTGTAGTCCAGTTAGATGATGCGATAGGTCGGTTATATCTCCAGCCTTTCGAGCATTCACCTGATCCTCGGCACAGATTGCTGTCAATTGTGTCTCAATCTCCGTCCAGGCAAACTCAATGTCTGATGGCTTAGGATCCATGCCGCATATGGAAAAACGCAGAAACAGCCGACCACAATGCTCCGCCTTGACCATGTAAATCTTCTTGCGCTCCATCAGACGATGCTGAAGCTGTGCCGTGATCTCATTGTCGCCCTTCGCACGAAAGCAAACCAATCCCAAGGCACGTGGTGCCACCACCTCGAAGCGCTTATCTGCCTTAACCGCCCTCTCAAACTGGATAGCCAAATCGATGTGCTTGCGCATTGTGGCACGAAGACCCTCAGCGCCTAGCGTGCGGAATGTTATCCATACTTTGAGGGCGCGAAAACGCCGACCGAGAGGGATCTGCCAGTGGCGGAAATCAGGGATCTTTGTCTGGTCATCATGCTTGTGTTTTAGATAGATGCGATCCACATTGAAACTGTCCACCACATTGTTGGCATCGCGCACCCACATCGCCGCACAGTCAAAGCTGACCTGCATAAACTTGTGTAAGTTAAAGTTCAGTGAGTCCACACGATCCAAGCCTCGACGCAGTTCGGCGCACTCATCCAGAGCAAAGGCGCCGCCTGCGTAGGCTGCATCCACATGCAGCCACACCTGATACTGCTCACAGATGCTGGCCAACGATTCGATGTCATCGTAGGCGCATGTACCCGTTGTTCCCAGCGTGGCTATACATATGACTGGTATCAAACCGGCAGCCACATCCTTCTCAATTGCTTTCTGTAGCGTTGCGCCACGAAAGATGAGATCTTCATCGGCGGGCAGCAGTTTCATGCGTATGGCTGCCAACAGGCCTGCCTTCTCTATGCAACTGTTGCTCTGATCAGAGGAGTAGGCAATCAATTTGCCGCGTATATCGCTCTCACTCATCTCCGGGTGGTTTTCGCGTTCCTTGCGTACGGCCTGTTCGCGGGCCGCCAGGACAGCTACAAGGACAGACTCGCTGGCGGATCCCTGAATCACGCCACCGCCTGGACCATCGTCCTCGTGCAAAAAATGTTTAGGTAAATGCAAGAATTTGGCCAGCCAGTCCATGACGACCATTTCGAGCTCAGTGCATGCAGGACTGCAGATCTGTGAGAAAGGAGAACGTTAAAGGTACACATTAATAATAATTTATGATTTAATTAAATGACAATTGCATTTTCTATAATACATAGTGGATAATTAAGACAATAGAATTTGCTTTAAGGTATTTAAGATTGCATGTTTTAGTTGCAAGCATTTTAACAATCGAATCATTTCATGCTCTGTAAACTTAAATTAATGATAAATAAATAAGTCGTAAAAAAGTCACCAAACAACGTTAAAAGTGAACTTGACCGAGTCCCCGGATTAAAACAATACTCTTTTTGATTTCCCTTTCCTTTTCTTTTCCGTTGGCTCTTTAGCAACCTGTTTGTCGAGTTCTTTGAGTGTCGCAGCTTTCACTGCCCAGATTGAACAAAGGGCTTGTATTGAGCTTGATTGAACAATGAATAATGCGAAGATTTCACCTGTACGTACCCAACTGAAGCCAACGATGCCGTATCCGGTGGCTATGAGTTCGCCCACTAAAGATGGATAGGAAATACAGGTGGGAAAGTAGGCATGCATGTTGGGTGACTGCCAGTGGGTGATGCCTGGCTTTATCACGCGATTGATGTCCGTTAGAATCTCTGGCCAAGCTTCGGGTGTCTCGGGCATCTTCTTGGGCAGCAGTGGCAAAAGGTAGCCGGGCTCGACGGAGGGCAGTATATCATTTTCGCGAATATTCTCCAGATAGTCGGCGACGAAGTCAACGGCAGCTTTGCCAAACTCCCGAAACTCTTTGGCGTTCATTTTGCAATGCTGTCACGTTGTCGATGTGGAATCAATTTAAGATGTGATTTTTGTTCCTATTGTTGTTAAGCGCGTTTCTATTTGCACTTTTTACGATTTGTTTGTCTCTAGTTTGTTTACAAAGTTCGAAACAGTCGCCCCACTACTGTGCACCAAAGTGTTGTCGATCTTCTTGACTTGTTGCCACCGCGAAGTTAACGTTAACTCTGCTGTCACGAGCAGAGAGTGCACCGCTTTTTATACCTACAGGGCCGGAGCCCACTCAGAGCCGGAAACTGAGCCACAGTCAGAAAACAGAAACAGAGCCCGATTTAGCGACTCTTAAATGCCGCTCTCTAAACACCACAAATGCAAATGTTAGCTTTTGGCTAGGTTTGTCTAATTACAATAAACAAAACGGACAATGGATATTATTTATCTGGCAAAGCAATTAATGCGTTATTGCTGCCGTATCGAAATTGTAACAATATATTATATTATTTATATTTTATGTGCTACTTTTTTTTTTGGAATAACGTAATATAATTGTTAAAGTGAAAATATAATGATATAAACTAAATTTCAAACTTATAGTGCAGAGTTTTGGCTTTTGATTTATATTTTAATATATAAAATGCATTTTATCTATTAAATGTTTCCAAATAGAGCATATTACTTCGATTTAAATCTTAAGGCTACTTAACACTACTGTTCATCAACGTAATTGATCAACATCTTTGTTATAGGAGTATCTGCACCCATCATTAAACTTTTGCTTCAGCATTTCGCGCTTAGACAAACTTTTGACTGTTTTCAACTGTTCCCAATTGTGCTAAACTGTTCTCCTTACCCAACTGGTTTCTCTTTAAAGCATTGCTCTTATTACTTTCCCATCATCTGAATGACTTTTTTTTGTAACTTTGCTGCCGGGATTTCAACTCGTACATAAAATAAACTATTATATTGCACATAAATCTAAAGTTTGTGCGTAAGCTTTTATTATGATACTAATTGTTATCACACAATCTGGCAAAGCAACTTTTGTTGGTTATGCATTGTTATGGCAAAATTTCGCATTGCTAGACTCTCTCCCCATAAAATATGGTAAAAGGGGCCATAAAAAGAGTGTGCAAAATATACTTTTCAGAGAGTCAGCAATATCCTTTCTTCATCACATATGTATTAAAAGTTTCAGTATTGCCTCTAATCCTGTATCATTCATGAAACTAATCTGTTCTTTATATGCCATATGTACATATATTGTTAAAGTTAACGTTTGAAACTTACCCAACTGAATCCCAAAACTCCAATTCCAGCAATAAGCAGCTCTCCAATTATGGAGCCAGCCGATGTGGATGATGGAAAGAAGGCATTAAAGTACGGCGATTGCCAATGGGTCAATCCGGGCAGTATAATCCGCTCCATGTCATTAAGAATTTGGCGCCAATGCTCCGGCTGCTCGGGTATTTGCCTGGGAAGCTGGTTGATGACATCGAAGGGCTGTACGCTAGATAGCACATTTCTGTGAAAGTAGCGATTGTTTAATAATATAACAAACACACACACACACAAACCTCTGACGGATGTTGCTCAAATAGTTGATAATGAACTCAATTGAGGCGTGACCAAATTCGCGAAATTCGTCAAAGTCCATTTTAAGAGAAGAGAACACGTGTCGACGAGTAGTTGTAATATAGTAGATCCTATCCTAATGATGTGCTATATTTTAATCTGTTTATATTTGCTGCGCTGTTTGACTTTTGCACTTGTTTACCGTTGACATTCGGATCTACTAATGAACTCGCTGCGACATGTCAAAGCGTCGACAAGCGATTTGAATCCAACGATTCAACGTAGGCCGTTTGTGCACAGTAAAAACTTTCAAACAATACTTGAAGAGCAGTCAACACACGCCGACATTACATACTTAAATATGTGTAAAAATGTGCACAGCCAGCAAGTTTTTGGTTACCATTGGCGAGATTTATGTAACTCTGATGATGTTCAGAAACGACATTAAGACCGTTTATAGCGTAAGCATGATTACAATAAAAAAAACGAGAAAGAACCGCTATCTTAGCCATGTCGAACATTACATACGCTTGCAGATGGATCGAAATATCATTATTAGTACAACGATATGATAAGAAAAAGAACTCCTCTTCTCTCTTCTTCTTCTATATGACATAGTGAGCCGATCCTAAGCCAAAGACAAGTTGACTACATAGAAATATAAGAATATATATCTACATCTATATTCTGATTTGGTTGCTAGCCAAGAATATATACTTTAGGCATTTGGAAATGTCTCTTTCAATGCGTTACAAAATGACTGACAAAATAATATTACCGCATGCAAGGGCACACAAAAACAAAATAACATGAACATCGTCGAAGATATTTTAATGGAAAGCGTTTAATCGTCTAATTAACTGAATACACCGCCCAAAACCTGTTGGTCTGTTAAAAAATAAAAACACATTCAATTATTAATCCAGACTGAAATGAGTTCTTAAGCAATGGAAACATTTGCTCAGTTGGATGCATAAGACTTAAAATTAAATTATTAATTAAGTGTATGCCAAATTGTGGTTTAAGATTTTGGGCATTATTCTTTATTTGTTTTGAATTTTTTGATACGTCTGCGTAATTTATGTCGTTTACTATCTTGTTTGCTCTACCATTTCTTTCACTGCAACTAATGGATAATTCATTGTGGTCACAATCCGGTTTATAATTACTATAATCTTTTGTCAACTGGCAAAAATCACACTATATGGCTAACATGCATAACATTTCCCAGCTCTATTAGATACCAACTGACCATTCCGCCCAGTCATGCGACTGTGCTCGAAATTTTGAAAGTCACAGTCACACTCTATTGATGATGGCTCGATTAGATTCATCTATTTTGTAAGCGCAGCTCGGACGGGTAGTGCATCGTCGTCGGAGTGGCCCCACCAAGGGGGCCACTGCATTTCACAAGACTGGGTCGCTTTTTTTGTTTGTATTTTCAATTTCAGGGTCATGCTCTAATTTAGTTCCGTTATTAACAAAGTTATGTATGAGGAAAGATTGTGGAGCAAAGTTCATTTAATATTTATTTAAGCCAACAGACGAAAATGCAATGCAAAATTTGGTTTTCTCTTAACTATATTATTATAGGTAACAAAATTTGAACAAGCTAAAATGTTTAGTAAATGAATAAAAGTTAACTCCTTAAAAGTTTATATTTACTGTGTTTTGTATTTTATACAAAAAGTAGATAGGGATAAATATGTACAAGTAATAAATAAGATTAAATTATTAATTTATATAATTTATAATTTTGTTTATAATTTAAGAAATAAATGTATTGAGTGCCCCTTGTATTGATGGCTTAATAGGAGCCTTCATATTAAGAGCACTCTCGTGCTCTGAAACTCGGTCAGGGTATGACCACTAGCTGTTGTTCTCCACAAAGGTCCATCATTGTGGTTCGGGGTGTCAGTCTGTGGGGTCCAAAGTGTTTGGCGCTCTCTAAGCGGTTCATAAATAAATGTGAAAACAAAATGCCCTGCAGACGGATAGGCGGACGGGTAATGTACATGTATGCATGTGTACCCGTAAACACCCTCCCAACGAAAGTCAGTAAGAGAGCTCAACTAAGAAATGCCCTGTAGAACATAGGGACAGCTAACTACTGAGGGAATAAAAAGTTGACAAGTTAACAGATATTTGTATAAATCGGATATAAATATATATATGCACTATTCGAAAAGATATGCTTAACGTATTTACAGGGTATATAAGTGGCAGTGACAGTGTGCTTTGGCGCACAGGGTGACCCTTGCTAGCCAACAAAAATGATTGACTGTTACGGCGCTCTGCGTCTGCTGCATTGCGCAGCCGCTGGAACGAGTTTAACCCTTGAACAAGCCACCCAACCCAATGCAGCCCAACCACCCACCCAACCAAGCGAATTCCAGTTTAATGGCGTCGGCAGCAGCGATAAGATAACGAACTCTCGCGCATGACCAAAAATTGCGGCGGGGCATTTATTGTTGCTGTTGCCTACTATTTTCTTTTTTTTTGTTGTTATCAACGATTTCCAATGTTTTCAATATAAAGGGGCGGTGCTTGCTTTCAGCCTGGAAGCCAGGCAAAACTTGTCATGTTTTTGTTGGTGTTGCTTTTGTTGTTTTCGTGTGTTGACCGCGCGTATTGACTTGGACTTTTGTGTTAAGTTTCTCATATTTGTGCTATGCCACTGCCGCCGCTGACTTTTAAGTGCTGTTGACTGTTGTTTTGGGGCCACAGCGAAGGTGTCGCCAGGCGTTGGCTCATTTCTGTTCTTGTTCTTGTTGTTATTGTTGTTGTTGTTGTTGGTGTTGTTGCTGCTGCGTTTGCTGCTGCCGCCAACGCCGCAGTGCTTTTTCCCAGTTATAACTCGAAATTCTTGAGAGGCAAACTTTTGCAAAAGTTTTAGGTTTCACAAAATATTGTAATGCTGCCTGCATAGCGGACAAGTACGAGAACGGAAACGGAACGGGAATAGGTATAGGATTTGGGGTACGGTCCTAGAAATGGTGACTGTTAAATGCCAACTGGTAACTGTGGTGGGCTGGGGCAGTGGCAGTGGCACTGGCAGTGACAGTGGTCGGGGCAAAGTGGCAGGCAAAGTTGAGCATAACATGGCGCATACTAAAAGCAGCATAAAAATGTCGACAACGTCGCCGTTGCCATTGTTGTGTTGCCTTGCTCGCTAGCTGCTGCTGGCTGCCAGCCTGCATTTTACCATATCATTTGTGTCACATTAAGATCAATTGGTAAACACACTCACACACACACACACACACATACACAGACAGAGAAGCATACTCCTGCACACACAAAAAGGGAAACGACATAAAAAGTATCGTAAAAGTCAAATAAAAAAAGCTCAAACAACAACAACAACAACAACAATAACGAAAGTCACTAATGCAGGAGCAGCGACAGCAGCGACAACGGCAACAAAAGCGACAAAAAGTGCGCAAAAAATGCAGCCCGAGTGCCACAAATAGCAGGCAACAAAATACAAAAATACAGAAATACAAAAAAGAAAACGAAAAGGAAGAAAGAAAGAAAGAACTCACAAACAACGCAGCAGGCGGCCGTCAGTTGCTTTCTGCCAGTGTTGCCATGCCCCGTCATGCCGTGTCGTGTCGTACCGTGCCATGCTCTCCGCTCTGCTCTGTGCGTTGCGTTGCGTTGCTATCCGTTAGCCGCCGCCATTTTGTCGCAGCTTGCCGTCGCCTTGCCAATTGCCGTCGCAAAATGGCGTTCGCGTAAATGTTTCGAATTCAAAATTTAAGTGCATCCGAAACGACAAAATTCTTTAAATTGTCGGTTGAAATCAAATAATTCGATAAATACGAGTAAATCAATTAATTTCGTTAAACGTAATAAAACAAAAAAAAAAATGAAAAACACGTGACTTAAAAAATGCAATGTTCAATCAAAGTGCTTATTTTTTTGTGGCAACTTTGAAGTCAGTGGAATTGGCACTGGTAAAGTGACGCTGTTAACACAAAATATAAATAATGCAACATTTGCTACAAAATAGTTCATAAGTAGAATTGATATAACATTTAAAGTGAATCATTTATCATTATTTCGAAATTCCAAGACAAGTTGACGGCAATGTTTAACATTTCGGTAGCTAGCTACTTGGAAATTTATGCATAATTATGTAATGAACAGATTGGCATCATTCGCATTTAGAACTCAACTCAAAACAATACTACACAGTACACTGTAAACAAGCAATACGTAGAGATACCACTTGCTATGTACTTCGGCATATTGAAATTGTTCTTGAGCAGACACTTGGAGCTGCTAGTCGAACTATAAGAGTCCACATTGATATAGAAAAGCAATGAGTATAGTCTAAAGCACAGCGTCGTGAAGAACACAACACACACTCGCACACACACTTGTACACACACACACACTCGCACAATCGAGTCGATTTACCGAAACCAAAAAGAAAACGCCGCGCGTTTCACTCGCTCTTCTGATAAGAAAACATCGACGCGTCGGGCAACGACGGCGGCGTTGCTTTACACAGTGCCAGTGCCACTGCCAGTGCCACTGCCAGTTCTCAAACAGTCAACTAACCTACCACCCAACCAACCAACCTGCCAACCAACCAACCAACCAGCCAACCAACCAAGCGATCCAATCTTGCTCTATCTATAGACAGTGCCGCCCGCCTGTAAACGTAGTAAAATAGAAAAAAAACCTGCGCAGCGTGACTAAACACTTCCGCTTCTTCCTCCGGGCAGGCAGCAAAAAAGTTTCGATCGCTAACGGTAATATCGGAAAACGTCGCGTGTGCAATTCAAGAAAAATCAAATAAATTTACACATATATACATATATATATATTTCGTTATACGTATATTTTAAATGCAGGCAAGCTGATCGAACTGATCGGCGCTTTAGTAAATTAAATATAAGTGCGAAAAGTGGCTGCGAGCAAATAATACGCATACGACACGTGTGACGATCCGGCCATTACAAAAGAAAAACCCCAAATTCCAAATCAAAATTCGAAAAGATTAATAATAGCAAATTCGGGCAATTATTTGCTGGCGTTGTTTGTAAGCGTGCATGCAACTGGCCTTAGAGATGATGCAAACCCTGAAACCGCCACCGCCACTGCATCAACATCAACATCATCACCAGCATCAGCACCAGGCACAGGCCCAGCAACTGCAACAGCATCTGTCAGTCATGGATAATCACCAGCATCAGCAGCAGCATCAACAGCATCAGCAACAGCAGCAGCAACATATTCATCAACAGCAGCAACAATTGCCACAAACGCCGCAGGCCCCGCACCTGCTTGCTGGCCCACACAATCATCATCAGAATGTCGGCGTCGGAGTTGGAGTCGGCGTTGGCGTCGGAGTCGGAGTTGGCGTGTTGCCTGTCGACCATGATGACCCAAATCCTGAGTTGGTGCTCGCTTTAATTTCAAGGAATCGAGCGCTTGAGGGTGAGTACAAAGGTTTTATGTCTTAGGTCTCAGTTTCTAGGTCCAGTCAACCAGCCAGGCTAACTCGTCATCCTGTGCTTTGCCTTTGGCTCTGCGCCTGTCCTAATGGATTTCTGTTTTATGTGGCGCCTGTCCAATATTTTTTAGTTTCTCTCTCTCTCTCTCTATTTCTATTTGTCCTTCTCTTACTCCTCTCTATTTTTGCCTGCTGACAGTTATTTATTTATGCCTTTAATTATGCAAAGTTTTCCGCCGTTATTTTCTGATTTAACTCGTTGAGAGCGAAAGCAGGACGATTCGACTGAGGTGGGTGTGTGTATGTGTATAGGTAGGTGTATTTGGGTGTGGTTAAGGTGTTTTATTTTGATTGAGCGCCGTTGAAAGCGGATCATGTGTGGCAGCAAACTCTGAAGTTGAGGAGCAAAATGTGGTTGGCCTGACTTAAGGCGAACCAGTTCCATTTGCAGCTTAAGTGTTTTTCAATTAAGCACAACTGTTTACTCTTACCGCAGCCTGTCGCTCGTTCAGCTTGCTTATTACGTATGCCCTTTTGTATTGCGGCATTCCATGAATAAATTTATTATATAATAAAGTGGGCATACGCTAAAGGGTAATTTTCATTTTATTCAAGATTTTTAGCTATATGTTGATGTTTGTTTCAGTACAAAGAAGTTGTTGTGTTCTTCTTAGCATTCAAATAACTTTGATTTTTTTTGTATGACCAGTTTATTAAAATATGGAAATATAATATTTGTATAATAAAATAAAATAAATGTTTGTGGTCTCATGTTAAATTAGATTTATTAACTTTATTAAAGACCCATAAAATTTTATTTCTGTTTCTATATTTGGGTTGCTTTAAGGAAACGATATTTATATGTTGGCTCATCCTAGGCTTGCGCTTCACTTCAAACAAATCCTTGTCCGCCATCCAAGATCTTCCTTGGTGCCTTAGGAAATCCTGTCACAATTATGATTTCGATTCATGTTTCACATGTCTCGCGATCCCACGCAAATCAATTGACAAGCTAAGGCCGCAGCTAAAAGCCAGCACAAAATGTTGACAACTGACACGGAGGAGGACACGCGCCGTTCTCATCCTGACTGGGAACATGTGCAATGAAGACAATGCCAAAGTCGAAGCCCAAAATTGTTGACAATGTCCAAATGGCTTAGATGTCAGCTCAACGCTATTGTCGCTAATGCGCAGGGAATAACCAAAACTCGAAATGGGCCCCGCTGCCAACTACCAAATCCCAGACTTGGTGCCAATCCCAGCCCATTTGGAGAGCACGTGCACGAAACAGCATTGAAAAGAGCATGCCAGGCTTGAATGGCTGATGGCTGATGGAACTGGGCGCGTTACATTTTCAAGTACGCCGGGATTTTGTTTAGAACACGCGTAATTACAAACAAATAAATAACAGAGCAGCGCCAAAACCGCATATGCCCTCCACATACCCAGAGCGGCCACGTGTCGCTAATATGTAGCGGGAAAACTGCCTGACAGAACCCGACCCAAAACAGCAACCAGCCAACCAACCAACCAACCAGACCAGGCTAGATGCGGACACCTCCCAGCGGAGTTGAGCGGCGTTCAACGAGCGTCGTGCAAAACGAGCAGAAAAATTGAATTATGCGCTTGCGGTGCTTCCCCGTGCCAAACCTTTCCTCCCCGCCGCCGCTCGCGCTCCCCTGCCATAACATAACCAGCGCTTGAGCAGTTCAAGAACCGGCAATCGACAAATATTTTGTTATTTGCACATAAACATATTTATCGAGTTTGGGTTGCTGTTTCTAGTGCGTGAGCCAGTTGGGTTGAGGGGGTATGAGTGAACAGGGGTAGCTCACTGCACCCACGGGTGTTCGGTTTCACCCGTTCGCATCTCCTTGGCCAAAGTAAAGTATATATCGCATTTGGTTTGGGCCTGTCAAAAATTGTGTAAATATGTTTGTCATTTCCACTTGCCTTTGGTCGTGCGCACTTAGCCACTGGACAAACAGACGACCCCTTCCCTCACCCCACCTCGACTCCGGCGAGAGCAGAGCAACCCCTCAACTGCGCGCTCGCGCACTTGTCGCTCACTCAGTCAACCGACCGCCCGTACGCCCGCCCGCCCGTCTGTTCGCCTGCCGCGTGCCGTTCGTTAGCCGTCCTTGTGTGGCTTTCCTATTAACATTGAGGGTCGGGGAAGGGGGAGGGCAGTCGGCACCCTACGTCGCTTAATGCTTAAGCGTATCGCTTTGGCTTGTTGTTTCCTTCCTCACATCCTGCCAGGGGGATGGGCTTTTTTTTTGTTGCCTTTTGCGCACGTAATTTGTCATAATGTCAACAAGCAAATGATGCGCAGCCCAGTTGCGATATGATCACAGCAAGTGGCTGCGCAAGACTAGCAACTTGTCAATATATATTTTCGGGTGAGTATCGTCCTACATGTATCGATAAGCAATTATATATATGGCTTGTCTATTTCCATCGGATGCCTCTTGGATTAACGTCAGCTCGTTGGAGAGAAGGTTGCGTAGATCAGCGCTTATTTTCTGGATCTGAGCAACTGTTGCATTGAACGGCACTCGCACATGAATCTCTTCCAGATGACCCATCAGATTTGGTGGGCTATAGAAGCTGTCACCCAGAGTGAAGTCACTTACTGCCAGTGCCGTCTGGTAGCTGCTCTCTGTGGTGTACCCAGAGGACTGCGACTCAGTAGTTGTTAGTCTGGCGCTTACCGAGCTGGTGGAGCCAGCTGTGTCTGTGGTGGACAAGGATCTCGAGCTAGTTGCAGCCAGTGACAGTTCGGACTTCATTGGAGCCTGCGAGAGGGACGTCTGACTGTCCGGAAAGGTCCTATCAGAGTTGGTTTCGGGTGAGAGACCGCGATTCTCTCGTGTTTCTAGCAGAATCGTGATTGAATCATTGCTTTGCTGGTGTCCCAAACCAGAGCACTGTGGCAATTGATTCCGGTCTCCACTTCGAGCTTTTCTTTCATTATTTTCCATGGTTAGCCGGCGGTGTTGGCTGTCTCCTTCTGGCTACTGGTGGCGGAATCTTGTCCCGAAATTTGCAACAAAGCGAACAATCGGTGAGGGTACCCACCTCCTCGGTGAATTTCGTTTGAGTGCACGAACTGAACGTCTTATGCACCTTGGCCAAGTCGCAGCGAAAAGCGTTGTAGGCAGCCCAATTGACATCGGTCATCTGTGTGATTGTCTTATGAATCTAAAATATAGCTATTCTCTCTTATTGCATTTTACTGACACTACACAATTGTGTCCTTCCTGTTTGTTGCTGCTGTTTTGATGGCAAATTAGGCTCCTTTTCCAAACTCATAATTTATTTTTGTATTTGCACTCGCCACTTTAAAGATTTTGATTTGCGGCCAAAAATGTTACTGTATCCGAGTACATAAAAATCTAAAGTCTACTTTTAAAATGACAGCACAAGCTAAGCAACTAGATTTCTATTTGAATTATAAATATATTGTGGTGAAATAAATTTGTGTCTCGATGGTCAAGCACTGGCTATCTAATTTAGTTTAATCGATACCACTGGCTGAGTCATAAATTTATAAATGCTTCCGATGCGATACGGAAAAATTAATCATCTTCTTCAGCGGGCAGTTGTGAAAGCTGAATGGTTCAAGTAGAAATAAAAATACCTTCGCAGAGAGATCCCCCATAATTGAGGGCCCTTCTTTCTGCAGATGCCTTTTAAAAACAATTCGCGCATTTTTCATTGCTAGGCCAAACAAACAAAAAATGAAAATGTGAAGGATGAAGGATGAACGCGGAGAGCGGAGAGCGCAAGGGGAACTGCCGGGCTTAGAGCCAAGTTGAGAAATCAGTTGATTTTGTTATTGTTTTTGTTGCTGTTCGTTGTTTTTGATGGCGTCCACATAAATCATTTTTTGTTCGCCATTTCCCGGACTGCCTGCTGCATATTTCATGGCGGTTTTGTTTACTCTACTTGCTACACCGAGAGATGGGTCGGTGGAACGGGGGGAAACTTGCGCTTAGCATCGACGACAGCTCTTTGACTAGGCTGCCTTTGCTGGTCTGCAGCTAAGGTAAGCCAAGAGGCCGCCTCATCCACAACCCCCCACCCCTTCTACCACACGCCCCACTTTACGAGCATTTCTGTTTGTTTCTTGTTCGCTTTTTTCTCTTTTTTTTTGGCAACGTGTACGCCGAGCAAACCCATCCCCAACCCCCGAAACTCACAGCCCCAAAAGAAGCAGCAATTCGCGCCGTGGTAAGGGAAGAGGCGAATGTTTAACTTACGTTAAGTAAATAATGGGGCGTTCATATGACATTGCGACTGGGGCGTGCAGGAAGTGCGAGGAGTGGGGTAAGGTAGGATTGGGGAGCTCACAACATAGCTATCCACCTACATAAATGCGAGTATATCTAAATATATATATGTGTGTGTGTGTGTTTGCAGTCACTGTTTGCTTCCACATTTCCTTTTTGCTTAATAAAATAAAATATGAAAGTTGCTTGCTAAAATAAAAATAACACACAAATATTTCAGTGCTAGAAAGTCGAGAGTCGCTGAAGCCATTTTTTGAGCTGATGTAATTGTGCTTAAGTTACAATCTCTAATTGTGGCATAAGGCTTTAATTCGCTAACAGAAAATGTGATCTAAGCACGTGCTAAAGTCGCTCTTCGTGGAATAGGTGGAAAATGACCATAATTGGTGAAGCCATTTCTACATCAATTTCATTCGACTTTTAATTCATCAAAGAAATATTACTTATTTGCTTAGATGCAGATACAATCATTAAATTATAAAATAATTTAAAATGGTGAAAATCGACATTTGCCAGAAATCGCAATCCGATTGCATAAGCATTGGAATACTTACTCAGCTATTGTTTACATGCAGCTGGGAGTCTAAGGCTCAAATCTGAATCTTGGAAAATATATCGCCTGACAACAAAGGGGCTAAGTTATTTGCATGTGTTTTGCCAAGAACTTTGCAACAGCCAACAAGAAAATAGGCTGACTAAATACATTATAAAATGTGCATTGAATATACATACTTATATATAAACACAATGTATTATGTATACGCATATGCAAATACGTATATACATATGTATATGATGATATATGTATGTACATATTTATATAGTCCTAGCGTTGTGGCGTAAGCTAGAAGCAGAGCAAACGCAGTACAGTGGTAAAAAAGCAATTCTAACTAATCAAAAACATAGAGAAGTCATTGAAAATAAAATAAGCATTTACAGCACTTTTCCAGAAAATAGGAAATGAATCAAAAATAAAATAAATTGAATTCGCTCACATTTTGCTGGTAAGGAAATGTTTGCAGATAAATGTGCTGTGTAAGAGATGTATAAAGAAGTTTGAATTTATTATATAGTCTATAACGATTTAAAACACAATATTGTTTCAAGTCGAAACCAATAAGAAATCACTATTTATTCCATATATATATGAGCATATTCTACTTCATCTATGCTCTAAATTAGTCCAACTCTAGTTGTTTTGCGACCACCGTGCAATAGTAGCATGCAATGGCAATATAAATTCAAAATTTAAAACATCAAATATAAATACAAATACAAAAACAAACACAAACACAAATGCAAACACAAGAACACACTCAAATGCTATGCTACTCTTGTTGCCGATGCTCATGCAGTATGCTTTGAGGCGCCTCAGCTCCAACCCCAACCCATGGGCAAGAGGGTGGGGGGAAACACATAACAGCTGGCAAAGTAGCGCTGAAAAGTGCCAAAAGGAACACAAAAAATGGGAAACGCGAAAAACTGGATACGTGCGAGTTCTGTGTACTGTAGACAGTATGTAGATGCTGCTGTGCAAACAGTATCCCGCAGTGAACTTTATTAAATTACACGATTTTGACAGTTAAGCAGCAGGCAACCCCACGCCTCTGTTCCCTGCCTCTGCCACTGCCCCTGCCAGCGACCTTATACTCGTTGCCATCTTGTCGTTTTAGGACTGGTTTCTGTTGCTGTTGTTGTTGTTGTTGCTCGTTCTGTGAGTGTTGTCAAGAGAAAATCATAATTTTTTCTTATACATATATTTTATGTAATACACTTGAAGCCGCCAGCTCAGCAAAGCCTCCCCCCCCCCCCAGAACGCCCACCCACCGGCACACGCATTTATGTTGTCTGGCAACGCTGAGCACTTTCTGAGTATTCCTTGGGGGCCGGTTTAGGCAAAATGGAAGCGGAACATTCGTTGGGGCTGGCAATAAGAATTGTGCGTTGTTTGGCAATGCCAAAGTCGAAATCTTTGGCAATTGCGCGTTTCAATTGTGGCCGGGAGCGGTTACCAACTTTTATCATTCCGCAATTAGCGTGGCCCATGTCTGCAGCGCTTATCGTTTGTAATAGTCGGTAGTCGGGTGCGGGTCAAAAACTTGCCAGATACTCCTCTAACAAGCCGCTGCCGCTGCAGCTGCCGCTGCCAAGTGTAAATATTTGTACACCATTTCAGTCGATACCTTGAAAAACGGCACAACAACAACCACGATAAGCACATACAGACACCATACCATTTTTGTACACTCAGAGAAAATTGATGTGCGCTATTTAAAAAAGTGTTCGATGAGTTAAGAATGCAAATTCTTGATTCAAGCTGATGTGGTCATATTCAGAGATGATTTTAGCTACTCAAGTATTTAAAACAATCATAGTTTAAATTTAATTACTTAATTGCAACTCAAGTTAATTAAAAATCTATCTTTTAGCATTCAAGTTCTTTATTAAATAAATATCTAAGCCTGTTTAAAGAATGCATTCATGAATGCCGAAACTTTTAAAATCCTCTTGAAATATTTTCAGCCTTTGAATACAAAACTCTCTTATATGTTTTCTATGTGTATGTATATATATATCTGTAGATCTATATATGTATAGAAGTATATATGAATACTTTTGTCTACTTCTGTTCTACATTAAGAGAGCGAGAGCGAGAACTATGTTTAAAAGCCGAGTTCAGAGTCTCTGTAGGCAGTCGCGTCTCGGTCTGGGGGCATGTTCGACGGTTATCTATGTGGGTACTTAAACGGCATGGTACAAGATTTGCCCATTGAGACGAGACATATATGTGTGTTTACATTTCCACCGTACATAAATGTTTCGATAAGAAAACATGCCTAGCTGCACGCCGAAATGCTGTACACCGATTCCTAACTATCGTCTTCCCAAAAATAAACTATAGATTCAATGGTTTCGACGGGTTTGATGCAACCAGCTTTGGTATAAATGGTAAAAATCAAGAAACTCCTACGACCCACGATACGTAGCCGCTCGCATAGTGTTAAATGAGGCCTATTAACATGCATGTTGTTTGGTAATGCAAAAAAAATCTTTTCATGTGCAACCCTCTGGCTGGTCTGGCTGGCGTCTCTGACTTTGTGCCAACCCTTTAGGGTGGAGAGAGAGTGTGCCTTTTATTCCTTTTATGCTATCTGTGATTATTTTCCACATCGCTATGCCCATTGTCTGTCAGCGGGTTTTTGTCTAACCGTATCTAAACAGGTGGTCCCAGCATGTGGCCGGGCTAGCTACTGAAGTCGCAGCAGTTCCCGCTCCTTTTGTCTGATCCTGGGCACACCCTCTTTCCTTTCCTTTCATTTTATTTATTTATGTATTTTTTTTGCTGGTTTTCCTCATTTGTAGTGTTTACCTTTCAATCAACAATGATATTATATATTTAAATAAATCTTCATACACAAAAGCGGCTGCGTTTTGATTTCTGGACATCAAGTCGACCGCAAATTATTACTTGGACTCTAGCAGGGAATATTATTGAAACAGGTGTGCTAATTGTGGGTTTGAGTCATTTAAAGTTTTGTCTTCTTTTCGGTTGAATGAAGAATTGCTGTGACAGCGCGTATATTTAGAGATTTGTCATTATAAAACAATCGAATATTCGTTATGTCAATAGTTAACAATAATCGTCGTGATTACTTAACTTATCTAGCACCCGAAGGTAACGTGAGAGCCCCATGAAGTGGACGTTCAAGCAGCAAAATACTACAAAAGACTTATTTGTTACTTGGATCTCACAATAGAAATCCAAATGATTACTTAAATAAACGTCGAAACCAGGCATATTTAAGTGGCACACCCAACTAGACAATACCCGAACTTGGGACGATTTCTATATCGAAAGGTCTTAAGAAATAATTAATAATACTCCTT